AGTGTTTGGTCACTGAGTTTTGTTCAGGCTGAGACGTACCGGTGACTCCTCAGAGCTGTGTGTGTGTGTGTGTGTGTGTGTAAGGCGCTAACAATGGACTCAGCCAGCTCTACACACAGCAGCAGAAAGAGGTCAACAAAGAGTGCGAGCCCTCTCAGGGCCGCTCTGATTGGTCTCCTGCTGTCCAACGCCAGCCTCTGATTGGACGCTGACACTCAAACACGTGAAACGCTGCAGCATTTTCTTCCTTTTTCCTCGTTGACCCGGCTTCACGTGGTCAGAACAGAACGCCGTGTCCCGTCGGAGCTTCAAGGCGCTTCATTCAAATGAGAGCGGTGTGTGGGAGGGGCCTCTGTTTCTGGCCCTCATTTGCATACTTCTTCTAGGCCAACATCCCACAATGCCCTGTTTTCTTTTTTTGAATGCATTATTGAGGGTTCCTTAAAGAAGGAAGAGGCCTCAGACTTCAGAGAGCTCTTTGAAAAAGGTGTCAGTTGGTTTGTAGCTCCATGTTTTTCAACCAGAGAAAACTTACAACACAATAATAATATTTCAGAGCAATCATTAACGTCAAACAAACCTTCTGCTCTCATGATTGCTACTCGTGCGAATCTGGCGACAGTTTTTATTGAGAAAGGGATCGTGCTGCTTTTGGTTTAAAGGAGTAAAAAGTGTTGATTCTGACTAGAGTCTTCGTGTTGTTTTATGAGTATATTATTAACAGATTCCTTTCTATGATCCCTGGCAATACAGAATATTCACATCCAATAATTATATTGGGTCTTCAGGTGCTACCAGTTCGACTAGCATCGCCCCGTGACCTCTGTGGAAGGTCGCGGGGGTCATACAGGTCGTTACACCGCTGATGGTAAATGTCAGTGACCGTGGTGAGGGAGACAAATAACAGACGATGAAGGTTGATGCTCGGAGGAATGTTTGATCCACTCACATCTACATGAATACGTTAAAGGTCTGAATGTGGAAAGAATTTAAAGACGATGATGTTCCTCAAAGAGAAGTTAGTAACATTTAAAGATTCTATTAGCAGGTCAATCTAAAAGCAAAAACAAGATGTTTAATAGAAACGCCGCCAGACCGCCAACTTTCGTCTACTTCAAAGCGTCTTTGAAGGAGGCAAACTGACTTCTGATCTCTTTTAATACACCTTCAAGTTCTCCTATTCCACTAAATATCTCCTCACATGATGAAGCTGATAAACAAGGTGACGTCTTTAACTTTCATCACATACAACAGGGAACAGATGTTTACACTCAACCGTGTGGTTGTTAGAATAGTTGCATCTATGTCAGTCGTGTTCCTTTATTTGAAATCAAGCAGATCACATGAAGGAGGCTCCTCCTCTCCGGCGTCTCGTTAGAGAGACAAAGTACCAGGTGGTCAGACCGGGACGTCCACCTTCCCCCAAACAATGGCTGCTTCCTGTTCCTCCTTTTAACATGCGTGTGTATATTCACGTTTTGCGCCTCCGTCCTCCGGTTCCTCTCACAAGGGAAAGAAAAAAAACAGAACTCGCCCCATGGTCTCCATGGTAACCAACAGTGCCTCTCTTTGAATATTCCCACTCAGGTGCTTTAGTCCTTGAACCCAGCGCGACTGCTTCATGCTCCGCCTTTCTGTGCGGGAGGTTTGTTTTTGAGTTTACTGGGTCCCTGAAGGGGCATCGGGAGCGTGACGTGTGATGGAGTTCATGCTTCTGTTGCCATCTGTTTCTTTAAGTTATTGACTAAAATCTGAAACCATATTTAATGGAAGGAATCTGCTTGAGAGAATAATGTTAGTGTGTCGAAGTGGTATAAAAGTCTCCTTAGGGGGAGGAGCCAGTTCTCTGCTGATAGTCACATGGTCCTGGACCACTTTAATGTTGACAAATGAGAGGGGAGGCGACCAGCAGCTGAAGCTTCGGGGGGGGTCCTCGCAACATGTTAATGTCAGTGTGGAACACAAACATTTTAACTGTTGTGATGGCCCACGTGTCTGTGGTGCTGGTCCACGTGGTCCACGTGTCTGTGGTGATGATCCACGTGTCTGTTGTCCTGGTGTCTGTGGTGATGGTCCCACGTGTCTGTGGTGCTGGTCCACGTGTCTGTTGTCCTGGTGTCTGTGGTGATGGTCCCACGTGTCTGTGGTGCTGGTCCACGTGGTCCACGTGTCTGTGGTGCTGGTCCACGTGTCTGTTGTCCTGGTGTCTGTGGTGATGGTCCCACGTGTCTGTGGTGCTGGTCCACGTGGTCCACGTGTCTGTGGTGCTGGTCCACGTGGTCCACGTGTCTGTGGTGCTGGTCCACGTGGTCCACGTGTCTGTGGTGACGGTCCACGTGTCTGTTGTCCTGGTGTCTGTGGTGATGGTCCCACGTGTCTGTGGTGCTGGTCCAAGTGAAGCCTCGGACTCTGGCTCTCAATCCTCCGTCAGAAGTGATCACTGTGCTTAATGAAAACTAATGACGTTTGTTCTTCTTCGTTGGTGCTCCGTAGCATTAAATTCCTGGGCACAGTGTGTTCTGCCCCTCGGAGGAATAAGAACAACAACAAACAAAATAGAACAATTCATGACTGGTTTCCGTAGCAACGTGCCAAATATAACGATCTGCTGGCATGAGGGTGAACTCTCCTCATCGACACATGGCCATTTTTATTATGGCTGGTTTCCACGGTGACCTTAGCCAATGGGAACAAAGCAGAGCCAGCAGCTGGACGTTTAATCTCACACAGAAACCGGTTGCATATATTGGTCGTCCATAAAGCTGTTCTTGGTTAGTAGTTAAGCCAACATTTCCCATGATGCAGCTTGATAGCGTCTCTTGGTTAGAGCCTTCCTGCTAGGTAAACTTCTCAAGAATGGTATTAGCTAAATAAAGTACTTAATGTATTTTCACAAAAATGAATCAATTGAACAGCTCGCTTACTAGTGACCTGTCAATCAGCATGTAGCCCTAAAACATCCCCTCTTTATGGTCTGTTTGACTCCAAATAGACCATAATGTACTAAATGAACATCATGTTGTGTTGAAGAAGACTTTAAACTAGAGACTGAGACCATAAACTCATGTTTACAATGTTTACTGAGGGAATAAATCAAGAGAAGTAGAGTCATTTCCTCATAGACGTCTATGGGAGCAGAGGAGTCGCCCCTGCTGGTCACTACAGAGAAGTAGAGTCATTTCCTCATAGACGTCTATGGGAGCAGAGGAGTCGCCCCTGCTGGTCACTACAGAGAAGTAGAGTCATTTCCTCATAGACGTCTATGGGAGCAGAGGAGTCGCCCCTGCTGGTCACTACAGAGAAGTAGTCATTTCCTCATAGACGTCTATGGGAGCAGAGGAGTCGCCCCCTGCTGGTCACTACAGAGAAGTAGAGTCATTTCCTCATAGACGTCTATGGGAGCAGAGGAGTCGCCCCCTGCTGGTCACTACAGAGAAGTAGAGTCATTTCCTCATAGACGTCTATGGGAGCAGAGGAGTCGCCCCCTGCTGGTCACTACAGAGAAGTAGAGTCATTTCCTCATAGACGTCTATGGGAGCAGAGGAGTCGCCCCCTGCTGGTCAGGAGAGAGAAGTAGAGTCATTTCCTCATAGACGTCTATGGGAGCAGAGGAGTCGCCCCCTGCTGGTCACTACGGAGGATGCAGCTTTAACTCGTGACTTCACTTTGGTCACTTTAGTGTTTTCCCTCACAAATATCTTACTGAGAAGAGGGTTGTTTTGACCTCATTCAGGCTAAATAATCAAAGATCGTAGTATTGATCACCCAAGGCCGATGCTGCAGATTTTATTACTTAGCACACATTTTACTGTGTGTACAATAAGTAATCAGTTATCATCCATAATACATCAATAAAGCCGTAAATGGTGTCTTGGTAGCAGAAGTCAGAGCAGCTGTTGGTGGAGAACTCGCTCAGTTTGAAAACCCACTCTGCTGGAAACAATGTCACTTTTCTCATTAGACGAACCGCTGTGAGCGGAGCTTCTTTTACTTAACATGTAGCAACAGAATCCTCACGCTGAGAGGAGCAGCGAGAGAGCTACACCTTTTAACTGAACTCCACCATGTCGGAGCATGTTTGGGCCTCACGCCGCCATCAACTGCTGGCAGACAGACGCCCCCTGGGGCTCCTCCCCCTCACACCTCCTCCTGAGCCATGTGATTGGCTTCTCCAACCCGGCGGCTCGAGTCCTAAACTCTTTCCCTCGGACACAAATCACACAAGATATCCTGTGACCTAAAGAAGCTGTACATTCAGTGTCCTCAGAGGATAAACCTTGCTGTGTCGTCGTATTGTAACTTCACTATTTCTGTATTTATTGATGGTTTCTGCGACTTTTTAAACGTGACAAATAAACAAATAAATAAATAAATACGTCGCTGGATGTGCTGAAGAACAAACAATAAATCCTGAGTCGTCTGGGCTCTTATAAATACGGGTTCCAAAGGGTTCTACCAGAACCATTTGCTGGTATGGAACATCTTTCTGTTTTTAAAGAGTGCCATTAAGAACCTCTGTGGAGTTCTAGATGAAACCTGGAACGAAAAAGGGTCCTGGGTAGAGCTCCTTGGGTGGGTTCTAAATTAACCCTAACCGCATGGATCGTTCAAGGGTTCTCCGTAGAACCCTTAGGACGGTTCTTGTAAGCACCCTTGGAATGGGAAAAGATGGTTTTGGATGGGAACCATTACGCTGTTGGTAGAACCCTCTTGAAATGATTCCAGTGAGTATTGTTCCAAACATCCGGAGGTTCTCCTCTGCTGGTGACTGGAGGGGGAGAACGTTCAGTCGTCCCACTAATCTCTCCTAGATTTCCCCCGTGAGTGGAATGAATCCTCCTCCGGTTATCTGACTCTTTTCTGCAGTTAAACAGGAAGTTCTGATAAAAGACAAGAACAGCATTTCAAAATAAGATGGGAGTTTTATTCTATGAAACGTGTCTCAGTCCTTCCGATGTTTCAGCTTCAATCTGAACAGTTTCCTGTTTCTCCTTTTTCAGAATCAGACGTTGTGTAAAGGACTCAATGAACTTCAGAACGGACAGGTGAGGAAATATTTCATATTTAATATGTACTACAACATTGTAGAAAGTACCACCATGTTTTTCTGTAGCTGGGCCGTCTTTTACTTACTTACTTTAAAATGTACTTCCTGCTTGATATCTGGTGTTGAATGATTCACCAGTGGAATGATCATTCAGTAATAACAGTATACAAACTTCATGTCTCATCACATTGACTTTGTGTCGAGTAACTTCCTTTTACATTATTACATCACATGTCATTTATGACGCTTTTATCCAAAGCAACTTACAATAAGTTCATTCAACCATAAGGACTCAGAAGTTAGTTAGTGTGTTAGTGGAGGTAGAGTCTGAAGAGGTGTGTCTTTAGTCTGAAGATGTGAAGGCTCTCTGTGGTCCTGATGTCTTCAGAGACCTCCTTCCACCATTTACTTCCTCTCCATTAACTTCCTCTCAAATTCCAGCTCATAATAGAAAGACTGCAGGTTAGAAGGAAGCGTTGCTTTGATTGATCTCGTTAGTCTAAAGTCCTTTTATGAGCTGCTTCCTGTCGCACTCAACCACAGCAAGTGAATGTTGTAGCGTTACCGTGGCAACACGGCGGCTTGAGACTCCGTGTCAGTACTGACCACCAGATATATCCAGGAAGATCAGCTGATCAGTCACGTGACTTCTAATCAAAGTGCTTTTGATCTGGGTGCGTGAAGGTCCAGCATGTCGCAGACTACACCGATTAAACGGACCCGTGGTTGCTTGTTACCGGTGTCTGGACGCAGCGCGTCATTGAGTCTGAGAGGGACTAGTTTGTGCAAAAGTCAGGGTCACTTTGTGACGACTCACCTGAGAGCATGAATCCGTCTGCTGTCCTTGGTAGAGACAGGAAGTGATGTCACAACGTCCTCTGTCGCTGGGGCCATGGCTGTGTCTCCGTCGCTAGGCTGCATCCTTGAGGACGCATTGGTCGAGCGCATACGTCACTTCCGCTGCGACTCGTCTGTCCCAGGGGCGCAGTCCTCCAGGAGCCGGTTTGGAGGACACATCTGAGCTGTCCTTTGCGTCCCAGCATATCCCAGCATGCAGTGCGGGCCGACCAAGCGGAAGAGTTACTTTTAAATGTAACGTTAAGTAAAAGAATTCACTTGAATATCTACAGATAGAAATGTTATAATATAGAACATCACATCTTCGTTAATGAAGTCACGTGACGTTAACTCCGTTATCCCCCCGTACAGCCCCTGAGCCACCCGGACCCCCCCAGGTCCATGTACTGTTCCTCTGAACATCAATGTGCTACACACATTTATAACAAACGCACAACGAGCAGCTCACGTTACCGGCAGCTCGTCTGTACTTATTAAAGTTATGAACCTGAAATATCACTTTAAGTCAGTGACGTTACAGAATAAATACACAAAGAAACTGAACTTTGCTCCTTTTGTCGCGTGATTATGAACTAACTTTACATTTAGTTGTGTTCTTCTCTCAGCCTGAAATGTACTCTGCTCCGGAGGAGAAGCTTTTCTTCCTAAATTAAATGAAATAAGATTATTTTTTTCTGTTACTTTGTCATTTGTTTGGCTTTTAAGGCTTTTACTGTCCAGCGCAGCAGGTTGCTAGGCAACAGGAGCAGTGGAGGTAAACCTGATGAGGCAAGCAGGAAGTCCCCCCGTAGGACAGACCGTCCCATTCGAGAGGCCGCTTAGTTCAGCCTGTGTGGTAGTTGGAGGACCAGCCCAAGTAGACCAGAAGGCTGCTGAAGGCTGCAGGCTACAAGGATGCTCATGTTACCTGTCGCTTGGAGGCTCCTCCCACCTGGTTCCCCGCTGAGCCTTCAGCTGCTTTGCCTGCTTCTGTGTCACGTGACATCACATGGCCCCTCCCCCCCACAGAGGAGAGTTTGGGATGTCTCCTCCCGGTCTCGGGGCAGAGAGATGGGGGAGGGTAGTGAGGACAAAGGCCCTCCCTTTGTCCCCTCTGATCCCCCTGGGCCCCCGCAGGAAGTTCTCCAATGTCTTAATCTCCTGCAGCAGAAAGAATCAGCCAGTTAAAGAGTCAACGTGTTCTTATTTGATTTATTCTGGAAACTAAACTTTAACTGCTTGTTTTTACACACTTTATTACGTTAAGTGTAATTTCATATTAACAAAGTTACTTGGTGACTTTAAGTGAATTCTGGGGGCTTTGAAGAAACACATTAAGAGGAATGTGAGGGGAACGGGTGTATTTAGCATAGAGCAGTATTTGTATTGACCAAGGAATGCGGGGGGGATGGGTGAGTAGATGGAGGGATGAGTAGATGGAGGGATGGATGGGTGAGTAGATGGAGGGATGGATGGGTGAGTAGATGGAGGGATGAGTAGATGGAGGGATGGATGGGTGAGTAGATGGAGGGATGGATGGGTGAGTAGATGGAGGGATGACTGCAGGTGTTCCTGGTAACAGAACCTCTATTGGAACAGACGCTGTGTTTCCAGGTGGTCGCTGCCTGATCCTCCACATCTGAGGGGGGGTCTTGGTCCCTGATGCCCATTGCCAGACTGTGGGCGGGGGGCCAGACTGTAGTGTGGCCCTGGTGATGAGCTGTCCCACTGCTGGGAGGCATTTACTGAGATGCTGGAGCAGTTTGTGGTTCCACAATGTTTCTGCTTCCTGTTTGTGTTGCAGATCTAATTTAAATATCGCTGACTAACAGACCTGTGGACATTAAAGAGTTTCTTCTCTTCTTTTGTTGCTATGATTCAAAGACCAGTTCTAGATATTATTATTATACGTCACGGTGGATGCAGGAGAGCTAGTAAAAGCACCTGTTTAGGATTCTGTCTGACTCCTCACTGTTGTGCAGCGTCACGGGTCTCTGCGATGCTCTTAACTCAACCGCCGCTCTGCTCCGCCCCCTTTTTTTTTTTGCTCCACTCAACTTTTCTTATATACTCAAACCTCTCGAAGACTATATGTATACATCTATATATATCTATATCTATAACTATGTATCTCCCAGCGGGTTCCTTCCTGCCTGCGATCCTCTGGGTGGAGCTGAATGTCCGTGTCCAGTGAGCAGCTCCACCCCTCAGTGTGTGTTTGAGGATGAATTCCCTTAATGCCGCTTCAAGTCTTCTCCACCGTCTTCAAAATGTCCTTTAAAAATAGATATTTATATTATAACAGCAGCCAACTGATCGTGGATCTCTGAGGGCAGAGGTTTTTCTTATTTATACGGGTTTTGTTAAAAAAATAATAACAATCTGACAGAAGTTACTTTTTTCTGGCGGATGAACGGTGTATTTTTGCAGATTGTTTAACTGAGTACAGCAGACGGCCTTTGAGACATCAGGGGCTCAGCGGGGAGCCGGGTCAGCTCCTCGTGGACCTAAATGTTCCTCTGAGGACAATGAGGTTGAATAAAAAATACCAGAAGCATCTCACGAACCAGCTGGTGTCTTTATTATAGCCCCCCCCCCCCTGTAGTGCTCCAGAGGCTCAGAGATATATAATAATATATGAAACATTTACAGAGCTCCTTCTGTGGAGGGGAGCAGAGAGAGGGACTTATGTTTGGGGGGTTGATGAAGAGGAGCAGGTTTGCAAAACAAACTGCAATATATCTGGTATTAGTACTGTGAGTACTTGAGGACTGGCAATACTGAGTTAGTTCTGCTAGTAACCATCAGTACTGTGAGTACCTGCGATGGCAGGAAGCAGTGCCGTGTGCATAAATACTCCCTCCTTCCCCTCAGAAGCTGCCAGTCAGAAGTTGTCCCGTCGGCTCCACCAAGCCTCTGACTCTCATCAAGCCTCCCAGCCAGAGCATCGCCATCTCCGTGGTGCCGGCCAAGGCCCCCGTTTCCATGGTGACCGCACACATCAACGGACAGAAGGCGGCGAGCTCGGACCCGCTGCAGACGTCCCCCATCAACCTCCAGACGGGCGTCAGGGTGGCGTCCACCGGCGTGCACGTGTTCAGCAGCAGGAGAGCCGGAGAGCTGCCTCCCTCTCAGGTACCGGCCAGTTTAAGGACTACAATGGTGTCGCCATCTTTGTTTTAGACAGAGAGAAGGGGCGGAGTCTGTGGGCCTTGTCATGGAGCATCGCTGCTCATGCCTCCAAAGTCCTGTGAGATCACAAGGACCTGAGCCCCTCGAAGCCTCCGAATGGTGCAAGCGGGTGAATATGGTTCACTAATGGGACCCCCCCCCCCCCCCAAGACACACAGAGACACACACAGACACTCACACACGGACACACACACACAGACACAGAGACACACACACACTCACAGACACACAGACACACACACACAGACACACACTCACAGACACACACACACACACACACACACTCACAGAGACACACAGAGACACACACACACACTCACAGAGACACACAGAGACACACACAGACACACACACACGGACACACACACACAGACACAGAGACACACACACACTCACACACACAGACACACTCACAGAGACACAGAGACACACACACACTCACAGACACAGACACACACACACAGACACACACTTTGAACTTCCCGTCTGTTGTTCCTCTTGGCGGCTGATTTGGAAGTGATTTGTTTCTGTTAATTTATTAATTATTGACATTTTTGAGCCACTAATCGTGTTCAGAAGAGTTTGTGATGCCTTAATGATATAAAACAATATTCACACAGATATGAATATTTATTTAAACTGCAATAATGAATCAAAACACCCGACGTCCTGTAGTTTATCTTTGGACGGTTATTTTCATGGCGCTCCATCTGAAGAAGACGTCTTTATCCTGAACCAAGGTCGTCTCTCCGTCTGAGGAGGACAGGAAGGAAGACGAGGATGGAATAAGGTGGAAGGACGGAGGGAGGACAGAGGCAGAGAGGAGGACAGAAGAGGGGAAATGGAGGACTGGGGAAGGACAGAGGAGGGAGGACAGAAGAGGGAGGACACAGGCAGGCGCAAGGACGAGGAAGGAGGAAGTGGTGGTCGGCACAGAGAACCAGGTGGTCTCCTGTTGTCCCTCAGTAGACCAGAGGAGGACCAGAGGAGGACCAGAGGAGGACCAGAGGAGGACCAGAGGAGGACCAGAGGAGGCCCCTGGTGTTTAGTTCCTGAAAGGCTCATTTGTCTCAGTAACTAAAAACAATAAGCGGAGACTATTTATATGTAGGTATTGTTGGGTCAGAAAGTGTAAATAAAGGGACATTAAAGGGACTTTATAGAGTCCTCATTGTCTTTGGATCCACATTCTATTATCCAATCATCCGATGAAGGAGCTGTCATCTCTCTAAGCGACTGTTTCCACTTAGTATTTGGAAGAGAAATAATTCAGAAGTAGAATCTGTGGTCCATGGTTGTGTTCGGTCCTCACACTGGAGGGGAGGAGGAGGCCCCCTAAAGAGAAGGAGCTCAGGTTTGAAGGAAAGAGGAAGCAATTATGAAAATGAAAGCCTTTTCACTGCAAGAATTTTCCTCTCTGCAGTTGCCATGGGAACGGGCCTCCTCCTCCTCCTCGTTTCCGAGCAGCTCTGCAGCACAACACAATGGAACGAAAGGGATTTTCACAGAAGAAGAAAGGGGGGGGCGGGGGGACTTTTACTGATTTTCCTTTTCTGTGGAGCAGCTGAGCAGAAACGGCAGATTTTAATCTTCTGTGGTTCGTTTACTGGTTTCACCGGTGGAGATCGGCTGTGCTGTCGGCCAATCACAGACTCCGGTTTATTCCAATGTACATAAGATAAAGTAATATGAAACGCAAACAACGGCAAACAAAACGCAAACAACGCGTAGAATTAATAAACAAACGGATGTCATGTAGATTTCCTCACTGCTTCACCTGCTAAACAAACTCATGTTTCCCGTCAAGTCCTTCTCATGTAGTTTGTCCTTCGCTCCACCGTAGTACACAAATACTACTCAAAGTACCTTCAACATGTTCCTCTTAGATGTTACATGTATTAACTGTTGATGTTTTGATCTTAAGATTATTATTTATGTTTTCAATGCTTTAATCAAAGTTTTAATGTTTATTTAGCAAATACAGACGGCAGCAGACTGATGTAAAAATAGAGCTCCTGCCCACATTATTTATATAAGAAAGTCTAAATATGTTTCATTTAAGTGTTTTTCTATTTTACAAGATGCGCACAGATATAAAAATAAAGTCCTGTTGAAGTGGTAACATGTGAAGTCTTTAAGATTAAAGATAAAAAGTGAGATGAGATTAAAGATGTGATGAGATGTGATTAAAGATGAGATTTGATTCAAGATGTGATGTGAATAAAGGTGAGAGGAAATTAAAGATGTAATTAGATTAAAGATGTGATTAAAGGTGAGATCAGATTAAAGATGTAATTAGATTAAAGATAAAAGGTGAGATGTGATTAAAGGTGAGATTAGATTAAATATGTGAGTAAAGGTGAGATGAGATTATAGATGAGATTAGATTCAAGATGTGATGTGAATAAAGGTGAGAGGAAATTAAAGATGTAATTAGATTAAAGATGTGATTAAAGGTGAGATCAGATTAAAGATGTAATTAGATTAAAGATAAAAGGTGAGATGTGATTAAAGGTGAGATTAGATTAAATATGTGAGTAAAGGTGAGATGAGATTATAGATGAGATTAGATTCAAGATGAGATTGGATTAAAGATGTGATTAAAGGCGAGATGAGATTAGATTCAAGATGTGATTAAAGGCGAGATGAGATTAAATATGTTAATAAAGATGAGGTGTGATTAAAGATATGTGATTAAAAGTGATATGAGATGTGATTACAGATGTGATTAAATCTGAGATGAGATTAAAGATGTTGTGATTAAAGATATGTGATAAAAGGTGAGATGAGATGTGACGCTCCAAACACGGAGGAACGAAACTCGTCTTTAAAGACCAACTCGAAAGTTTGTTTATCATGTCACAGCCTTCGTTTCCCTCTCCGATTAAGTGCATTTAAGTGCATTTCCCAGCATGCAGCAGTGTTCACTTCGGGTATGTCGGGGGCTCCCCCGGTGGTCATGGGTCATTACTACACCAACGTCTGAAATCAGTCAAATGCGCCATAAGATAACTTATTATTTCTTAATTGTAGTGGTTCTTTTTGACTGGTTGGAGATGTCTGGGACCCAATTGTCCCACAATGCAATGCAGAAAATACATCTCTGTAGGCTAAAGCGGGAAAGACACATAGTAACAAAATTAAACAGTTTACTAACGCTTCAATTCGGTGGCTTTAATTGTGTCTCATTACAGGAAAGGGAGTGAAGTAATTAGAGGACGCCGTCTTGTTTCTGTTTTATTAATAAAGACAATAGTTGTTTCATCAAAGTTGAATGTGTGTAAATGATTTATCAAAGTGTTGCATTTGTGTGCCTTCCAGATGCTGGGAACTCTCACTGCTGTGCCCATCAAGGTGCCTCAAGTCAGCTCCCTGCACCGGCTGGCAGGACAAGCAGCCACTATGCTACCTCAGGTAAGAGTCCACCTGTACGGGTACATGAGCTACTTCAGACCTCCACCAGGTGGCAGCACTCAAGTGTAAAGTTATCTATTTTTCATGAATAATAATTTCAGAGAAATGGTATTAAAAAAAATAGAAAAGTAAAAGTGATAATAAATGTTGTATATTGTGGTCAGAGATTTGCAGTAAATGAGCAAACCGTATTCTAATGTCATCTGACCGTCCTGCTGCAGGTTAGGCCAAAGACGCAGATCCCCGACAGCCTCCCTCAGGGCCCCGCCCACCAGCTGCAGCCTGTGAGCCTGCAGAGGGCCGTCGCTGTGGTCAGCCCCCGCAGCCAGGGCCCCGCCGCCGCCAGCCCCCGCAGCCAGGGCCCCGCCGCCGCCAGCCCCCGCCGCCAGGGCCCCGCCGCCGCCAGCCCCCGCAGCCAGGGCCGCACCCTGCCCACCGCCAACAGGCGCCTTCAGCCCGAGCACCAGCCCAACACACAGAGTGACGGGCCCTTCGGGGGGTCCCGGCCCCCGTCGGACTCGTTGCAGCAGGCCTTGGCGGGCCCCGGTGTGGCGTACCGCAATCATCGCCTCTCTCGCTTGCCACCAAGAAACGGGTCGTCTGCGTCAGCGAGGCCGTCAAGGTGCAGCGGCGGCTCTGTGATTAATCATATGCTCACTTATTCTGTAGCTTAGTCTTAAAAACACGTTTAAAGATTCAGTTAGAAAGAATTTTAAGATTAAGTTTCCCTTTTTTCTTATTCATGTTTTTAACATCGTTTTAAAAATATTTTTACAAAAACTTTTTTGTTTTTGGAATTTTTTGGGTTGTTTTTGGTTTTACTTTTCTGTCTCTAAAAAATGTTAAAAGATTTTTGTTTTCTTCTGAAAAAATAAAGTAAAGTAGTTGATTACTTTATATTTGTCTGCTACCAGGTGATAATAATCCAGCCGCAGGCCCCCAGCAGCCCTGAGGGGCCTCCGGGGGCCCCGGCTGACCCCCCGTCACAGGAAGCCCCGCCGGCCCCCACATGCCCCTCCCAGAAGAAGGACGAGGACCCCAAGGTGAGATGAGCATCACACGTGGCTCTTATCTTCTAATCAGGCTTTGAGCGGTGTGACGAGGTCTTCTTCTTCTGCTCTGTTTCTAGAAGGTGGCCTTCATGGTGGCTCTCGGCCTGGTCACCACGGAGCACCTGGAAGGTGAGTTGACCTGAGAGCAGTTTGCCTCTTTCAATGACGGGACCACAGTGTGAGGAAACATTCACATGTTTCCTGTTTCCATTAAAAACATAAAACCAGGACGTTTGATCCCATGTTGACATCTGTAGCCGTTACATGTAGTTCTCCTGTTGTCCACTGGGGGCATCACTGCCTTACATTACATTACACGTCATTTAGCTGCTTTTATCCAAAGCCACTTACAATAAGATTGTAAAGTTATATAATAGTGTTCAGAATATTCATTGTATTAACTATTCAGGAAATACTTCACATGTGTGTCATTATTTAATATGAATGCATGTATTTTGTCATTATCATCAGAGACAAATTCAATTAAAAAATGTAACTGTGAAAGAGGAAAATAAATAATGGGGAATATTTAATTTTTTTCTCAGAGATCCAGACAAAGAGACAAGAGAGGAAGAGGCGGAGCACCGCCAACCCGGCCTACAGCGGCCTGTTTGAGCCCGAGGTCGGTCCGTGCTCACGCGTCACGTGTCAGATATCAGATAACATGACGTGTATCATATCCTCAAAGCATGTTGTCTTATATCAGGTTCTGTTTGCTTCCCTGTTCCTCTGCAGCGTAAACGTCTGGCGTCACATTACCTGAACAGCTCGCTCTTCCTGTCGGCACGAGGTAAAAACCCTGCGAGCGTCGCTGCACCTCCCTCAAACTCAGACGCTTCACCTGCTTTATGCTTTTCATATTATATGTGCATTATGTCCTCGCTGCTCTCAGAAAGGAGCCTCGCCATAAATCCTGTATATGCATCACCACAACACCGTGCAGGTGGTGTGGTGATTCAGTTTCCCTCTGCATCCAGTCTTTATGCTAAGCTAAGCTAACTGCTGCATGGCTTCCCCTCTCACCTGTGTGTGTCTCTGCCACTAACCTCTGCTTTGCTTCTATTCACATGCAAGACACTGAGGATTTCAGCTGGAAGGTAGGTCACATGACCGCTGATGTCACGCCTCGGTTCCCTGTGTGTGTGTGTGTGACATCACTGTATGATATAATAAAGCATAAAAACAAATAAAATAATAATGAATACTGTGCACTGATCCAATTGAAGTATGAATAATGAAATCAGTCCGGTTAATAAGAGAAGAACCCAATAGGAGAATAATGGAGACGTTGTCCTTTATGTTGAGAAGGAGGACGTGGAGCATGACGACCTCTGCGCCGTCTGCAAGGAGGACGGAGAGCTGCAGCCCTGCCACAACTGCCCCCGGGCCTTCCACCCCGACTGCCTCCACCCGCCCCTCAAGACCCCCCCCAGGGGGCCCTGGTACTGCCCCAAGTGCCAGAAGAAGGTCAGAGGTCCTTGGCTGAACACGCGTGTTGTTGTTGTTTATCTCTGTTAGTATCAATCCATCAACGAGTCTCATCTTCATCTTCATCTTCATCTTCAGGTCCTGAACAAGGAAAACATGTCGTGGCCGCACAACTTCGTCCAGTCGTACGTCACACACAAGACCGGTAAGAGTGAGTGTGTGTGTACTGATGGTGTGTGTGTGTGTGTGTGTGTACTGACGGAGTGTGTGTGTGTACTGACGGTGTGTGTGTGTGAGTGTGTGTGTGTACTGACGGCGTGTGTGTGTGTGTGTGTGTACAGTGCGGCAGGAGGAGAAGCGGCGTCTCCTGAGACGAAGCTCTGAGCTGAAGAAGGAGTTTTCTCACCTGGAGGAAGAAGACGAGAAGCTGAGCGACACGCTGAAAGTAAACATGCCGCCATCTTGTTTGTGACTTGACTGGTTGGGGCGGCGTGGCTAGTTAGCTTAGCATGCAGTCAGAGCTCAGTTTGGTACATGATGCGGTTGCCCTGGTAACGTCTCTGACTTGGCGGGTGTGGGCGGCGTGGCTAGTTAGCTTAGCATGCAGTCAGAGCTCAGTTTGGTGGTGATGCGGTTGCCGGGGTAACGCGTGTGACTTGTTGTCGTGCAGCAGTGCATGGACCTGAGGGAGCGGCTGCTGGGACAACAGAGAGACACTCAGGCGTCACTGAAGCGCCTCAAAGCTCTCATCAGGTTGATCCAACGCGACCAGCTCATCCAGGTCACCATGACGACCACCGCCACCATCGCCGCCGCCTCCCTGCTCTCCCAGTCCTGGATCAAACCCACCAGCGCCGGCCCACCGAGCCCCTCGGCCGCGCCCCTGCAGCAGAAGAGCCACGCCCACAGCCAGGAGGACGTCAAGTAGCGGCGACCTTTGAAGGCGGTGATGATTCCTTCTTGTTGAATAATATCGTTTGTCTCTGAGGAGCTGAGAAAGAGCCTCTTCCCTCCATTCAAGTATTTTTTAAGACCCAACACCTACAGTGCTTACGAGATTTCTTTTTTTATGTTATTTTGTATTTATTAATGTTCTTGGCCTTAATGTATTTATTACAAGGAGTTAGAAGACCGTGCTGATGTTTCCTTCTGTAGGCAGCGTAGCGAGGGGGCGGAGCTAGCGCTAGTTAGCCGCCGCGAGGACTGTACATATATCTCAGTAGATGTTTCTTTCATCCTCCATGAAGCTTTTTGCCATAATGATTCAGGAAAATGTTTCCATCGTGTATGTAAACGCATACGAGCCTTCAAACAAAAACAGAGTAACTTTTTTTCAGTATTAATAGAGTTAAAGTCAAAGAAAAAAGTATTTAAGATAAACTACAGAAATGAGCGTTTTCCTATTTTCCTGCTGACTGTTGTGTGAGTCTCATCGTCATGTGATCACGTGACCAGCGAGTCTCTTTGCTTCCTGTCGCTCGCATCACAAACAACAACGTGACTTCAGGTCAAGGGTCGGGGGGCGGAGCCTGAGACGCATTTGGGTCCGTTTTCATTTTGCAAAATATTACTTCATTTATTATTTTTCTCAGAGAAATTTGTTGAGATTAACAAACTAAAAATAGTTGTATTTAATATTAATCCATTGAACATTTTGGAATAGAATTTATTAAAAGTTGTTCGTGACAAGTCATTTTTTTGTTATTACTGAAAATATCAATAAAATCCTCAGCAAATTTTCCCGATAGACTTTCTGTTGAGTAAAATATTTCTGTTAATCTGTTAATTAGTTTGTCCACTTTGTCTCCAAACCGCGATGAAGATGTTTGCTGATCGATTCTTCGTCTCACTAGAAACAATAATTCATGTTGTTGCTTGTTTTGCGTCGCAGAGATCAAAGAGAAACAGAAGCAGAGTGACGTCATGCCCCCCCCCCCCACCCCCCAAACCAGTATAGAAAATATGCCCAAAACCCCTTTCTTTGTTTTTGTACTGGGACCATCAATAACGTCTCTTGTGCTTTTCGGTTGTGCGCTTTTATAATCCTGTTTTTTTACTCGTGTTTATTGAGCGTCGACCCGACGGACGAACACTGCCTCACGGACAAAATAATAGAGACACTAGAAGACAAAGAGGAGGGTAGTGACGCGTCTCCTGATGGACGCTGTCTTCAGAGGACAGACGGCATTAGAACCCGTTGGACGGCCCGTCGTCCCCCAGTAGACGTCCGTCTGGCTTCCTGCTGGTCCAGAGGTTCAGTTTTCGTAGAGTTCGATGTGCACAAACATGAACAAACGTTTCCCATAATTCAGAGGGAGGAAACGCTGCTTTTATTAATAAATCGTTTCATATCGCCTGAGTTTGAAGTATCCGAGACGCTAAAGAAGCTTCTTCTTGTTGAAGTGTAAGAGAGTCAAAGTGATGCATTGTGGGATGAAAGAGCAGAAAGTTCACGATGAGGCCAAACAAGCTGCACAGTATTTCAGGTTAAGATCAGATTAAAATATAGTTATTGGTTATTTGATTATCGATTAATCACCCAAAATAAAGAAATATAAATATATGAGATATAAGATTCACACACGTGAAACACCTTCATCTTAAGTTCATCTTTGACATATTTTGTGTTTTCAGCGATCAAATCGATGTTTTTTTCTCTGCATGAAGTGAGAAACGATAAAAGTGCGTTAATTTCTGTTCACTCTGAGCCAAACGCACACGTTACGTTTCAAAACACAACACACACATTCATGTATGAACACGTGTTTCCTGACGCACGTGTGCGACTCCTTCCCTCCAAACACCGACCGACTCGCTCACATCGTAAAGACATGAGACGTTCATCAGCATCAAAGTGCAGAATTAATAAGTCATGAAATGTAAATGTTGAGAACACAAACACTTAATTATTTCCATGTGGTTCTACTTGTTCCGCTGCATTAAGTCGGTTAAATGAACTCCGGTACGATATTCACATTCTGTCTATTTACAAAAACATGAAATGAAAATATTAACAAACGCAGAGACTTTATTTCATTTGGTTGTAAATTGATACTTGTAGTATTTGGGGGATTAAAACAGTCTGTGAGCCGAATGCAACGTTCCTTTTGTGTTGTTTAGAGCCGTGTGGTGCAGCAGGACGCCTCCATTCTGAAATAAACCCACATGTCATCATTTAACCGCGTTTAAAAACTGTTACACTCTAAATGATGCAAAGTTAATTTCCACCAGTAAAATAAATAAGTCCTCAGCGGGCCGCAGCCTCCGTTCTGTCCCGATTTGCCTTTTCAACGAACAGAATCATAATCAGTGGGGAGAAGAATGCGCATGTGATGCAAACCGAGAGGGAAACGAAACCATATCACAAGACAACATCCACTCGCCCGTTTCTACTAATCTTCTCCGGGAGAAACTGTGCTTAAACAAATATATTTTAATACACGACACATCATTTGAACAAATGGAAAAAAGAGGTTAGAACACTTTTATATTCTTTTATCAAGGAGCGCTTTGTTTAGATGGCGTGTCTGTGGAAGTAGAGGTTGTTCTGTGTCTCGGGGACGGTCCACAATAGTGTGTATAGGAAAGTGTTTGTCTTAAATATGCCAATGTAGTTTTCTCTTTATGATGCATTCAAAGGTTCATTGGTGGAAGTTGGTCAATGAGTAAAGAGTAGTCTCACTTTTTTTGTATCAAGTTCTTACTAAAAAATGGAATCATTAATAAACAAAATTCAAGAACAAAAAGGCCCGACGTTTTTGTTTACATCTGTAGAGAAATATCACGTCATCATCATCACATCATCATCATCACCACATCATCATCATCATCACCACATCATCATCATCACATCATCATCATCACATCATCATCATCACATCATCATCACGTCATCATCATCACCATCACCACATCACCATCACCACATCATCACCATCACCACATCACCATCACCACATCATCATCATCATCACATCATCATCATCATCATCACCACATCATCATCATCACATCATCATCATCATCACATCATCATCATCATCACATCATCATCATCATCATCATCATCACCACATCATCATCATCATCATCACATCATCATCATCATCACCACATCATCATCATCATCATCACATCATCATCACCATCACCACATCATCATCATCACATCATCATCACCACATCATCATCATCATCATCATCACATCATCATCATCATCACATCATCATCACCACATCATCATCACATCATCATCACCACATCATCATCATCATCATCATCTTTCATATTTTAAGAGCTGTAATACGAACGCTGAGGTGAAGGTTACGTTACATTTTTAACTCTTTCACATTCTGCTCGGGGAACAATCGGGTTTGGTGTCTCTCAGGGACACGGGACACGAAGCAGCCGGGACTCAAACCGCCAACCTTGCGGTTCCCAGCACATCGTCTACTCCATCGACCCCCCAGTCATCAAATAATTATGTCTACTCATCAAATGTTGATCAATTCTGATTTAAGTGTTTAAACATTTGAATGAATCCTTCACATGTTCTGTGTGTTTAAACACTTTCAGGTGAAACACAAAGTCCGTTTTTGTGGGATGAAAACCTCTTTATGGAATTTACTTATTATCATTTATCAGTCTGTAATGGATGAAGAGTCCAAGAGGGCAGAAGAGAAGATCTGTAAGCAAACCAGCATCTTTAGTATTTATTGTGGGTTTAGGTCTTAAGGGTCCCGCTGGGACGGCGGGTTGCGGGAGCCAAACACGCTGGGGAAATGCTCCACCAGGATCTCGGTGCACATGTTGATGGGCGTGAGGGCGGCGAGGGACAGGGGGGCGTGGCCAGGCCACAGCAGGTTGACCCCGAACACGCAGGCCAGGTTAGAGGAGCTCATCTTGTTCACGATGCTCTGCTGGGACACCTGGAGATCAACGGGGGGTGAAGGTTGAGTAATAGAGGAAAGACACGCCTCATTTGTGGACATATAAATATGTGTATATATATAAATATGTGTGTATATATAAATATGTGTGTATATATATTCATATGTTGTATATTATTGTGTGGACGGTCGTCACCATGTGCAGGAAGCCCAGCAGGTATTTTGCTACAATGAAATTATGTTCAGGAAGACTTTCCATCATCTGCTGACACCTGCTGACCCTCAGACTGCTCTCCACGTCTGAGAAAGACGACAACCACAAAATCAATAAACAAACAAACACCTGGGGCGGGTGACCCCCCCCCCCCCCACTCACTGAGGAGGTCCTGCACCTGGCTGTAGAGCCCGAAGGTCAGCAGTGGTTCGGGCATCTCTCTGAGGAACGTCTTCAGGATGACAGCAGGGACGTGAACGTTCTCGTACAGGTCAAAGTTCACCGGTTTACCTGTCGAGGTCACGAGATTCAAATGAGCTTTATTAACACACCTCAGCAGGAACACGACACCGCCGAGGGGTGAAGCCCTCTGAGCTACACACGACCTGCACTTCCTGTCAGCCCCTGCCCCTCGGGGGGGGAGACCCCGCTCACCCAGGTTGTAGAGCCTCTGGACGTCCTTGATGAGCTGGACTCGAGCCGAGCGTCTGAAGATGCCCTCGGTCCTCAGACCTGGAAGCGGAGTGAGGAGGTAGAAGCTCAGCTTAACAGCACAACTTTGTGTTTTAAAATGACAAAAAAGCGGAACGAATAAAAAGATACAAAACCGAACGAGATGTTGCTTCAGCTCATGATGACATCATCAGGTGCAGCTCACCTTTCTGCTTCAGGTAGGTCACAGTCTGCGACATCACAGGTGGGATCATCTCTGCGTTCTTCTCCCTCAAGCTGATTCAAAGGGATCAAACAGAACAACATCACGACCTGGGGGGGCAAAGACCCCCCTGCTGCCTCAGGAAACACTCACTACTGCAGACTGACTCCAAACTGCTGGCTGGGCAGGGGGGGGCGGGGCGGGGGGGTCCTCACCGCGGGGGGGGGTCGTCCTCTCTGAGCAGCTCGGAGCTTTTCATCGTGTCTGAAACGTACGTACATATATATATATATATATATATATATATATATATATATATATATTTATTATGACTAATACATAAATGAATAGTTCAGATTACCTGAGCACCTCCGGGGGCACGAGGAGCTGCTGGTAGTTCAGGTGCTCCCACAGGTCGCTCAGGTGGTTCACGTACGTCAGCTTCTTCCCAAACTTGTGACTGAAGAACACAGGCGGGAGGTCAGCGTTTGAGGCGGCTCGACCTTTGACCTCCGCCCAGCGAGCGGCGTCCTCACCTGATCAGAGGCTTGAAAAGGTTCCAGACGAGGCGGATGAAGTTGGTCGGATGGACGACGTAAAGCGTCTTCATGTTCTTCTTGTACCTGTTTGTTATCCGATTCATTTTAATGCTAATTAGGAAAAATTATATTTTCTTCAGATTCTCTGTCAAAATAAAATAAAACGTTAGTACAACTCTTTATTTTCACTTAAAGGGTCTACTAACGTTTACGATTGTAATATTTTTAATCTCCTAGAAAAAAAATACAAAAAGAAATCCTATAACAAAATCCTTCATTTTAATTAATTCCATTAAATATAAAGTTCAAATTCAATTAAACTGGAAGTTATAAAAATGTGATGATTATGGGATAATAACATAATAACATGATGATATTAATGTGATAAGTTCTGACTCACTTCCTGTCAAACTCGCCGTAAGCTTCTCGGAGCCACTTGAGTGACGGCTTGTTGCTGCTCCTCAGGCCGTGATGGAAGTACACCAGGATGTAGTCCATCTCCACGTACTGGTCCAGCGTGAACTTCAGGTACCTGCAGGGGGCGGGGCTTCCGTCATGAGTCTGACTGCAGGTGTGTGTGTGTGTGAGGGGGGCTGGACTTACTCCAGCAGGCGGAGGTGGTTCAGCTGGTGTGACGGAGGCAAACAGCAGCTGCTGAAGGTGATCAACTTCCTGCCGTACCTGTCGTCACCTGCAGAGGAAACATGCTCCATAAGCACCTGAGCAGGTAGTACACGGAGTACCTGAGCAGGTAGTACCCGGAGTACCTGAGCAGGTAGTACACGGAGTACCTGAGCAGGTACAACACAGAGTACCTCGAGCAGGTAGTACCCAGAGTACCTGAGCAGGTAGTA